ATGTTTTCTGTTCCAAATTGCCCATGCAGTTTCCAAACACTTCAAATCATGAGAAAATCATTACTGTCTTTGTGGGCCAGTAAAGATACCGGTAATTGCTACAATACTGGAAGATGACAAAAGGATGAAATCCACTTTATTCCAGACTAAAATGCTTTTGTACCATTTTTTGCCTGTTTTTGATATGAACAATAAACCCCCCCAACCCCTCTTTTTTTTGGGCCCGAAACTTATCAATGGAGCATATGTGAGAAGAGGAAATGAGTGTTAGTCACAGGGTGTGGTTCTATTTGCAGAACAAGAGGAGATAGAAACACTTCAGCCTGCACAAAGGAAATTACAGCTCATGTATCTACTTTGAATCATGCTTCTCAAACTCCTATTTAGTCACCACACTTGTCTTGGGTCAATTGAGTGCATGATCTTTGAATCATATTAGATTTGGACGTTGTGTAACTGTAACTGTAATTATTTTAAATTTAGTAAATGTTTTTTGTAGTACCTTTTCATAAATATAACACAAGTCTAAAATATGGATAAAGTTAAAAAAAAGGTGGAGTATATCTGACTCAGGCTGGTAACATGGCTACTGTTGTTATTTTAGTTTAAATTGGTCATAAAATAATAAATGAGGGATAAGCTGATATCAGGCTTGGCCTCCTCACACGTCAGCATATACACTGAGACAAATATAACATCCATTTATCATCTGGGGTTATTGAAAGATGGTTTACAACTGAGCTATATTTGAATTTTTCATTTAAGGAAAACATACTTTAAGTCGGATGCTTGTCATAGGCTTGAGATAGAAGCCATTTACAGACATTCCCACCATCAGTAAAACAAGGGTTCCAAAACTGTTTGTCAAAGTGAAGAAAACCTTTTTTAAGACCTGGAAAACTTTTCCAAAGCATTTTCTCACGCCTGTTAGAACAATGAAAACAGGATTACTCTTTTTTAAAACACTTAATCATTTCAAACTGAATGATTTTCATTTGATGAACCTTGTTTCCACCGGAAACCTGTGGAAAACTTTATCTGGGCCATTAACCACTGCTTTGCTCCAGACTGAGACCACCACCCTCAGGCTCATAGCTCTGCTTCTTTGATGTCACTATGAAACATGGCATCGATGGACTAAGTTACAGCAACACTGCAGATGGTGAATTTATCATTTTGTGGGGAAGAAGAGGAACACAACTACAATTATTACATTTTGTGTCCAATGAACAAGAGCAGAGGTGATCTAAGCAGAGAAAGGCATTTTTATAATTATGGTAAAACATCTCAGTGTTATTTATGCATAATAGCAATGCAAAGAATGTGTGTACCTGTTCAGGTGGAGGAGGTGGCCTCATTATCTAAATGTCACATTCGGAGGCGTTTGCAAATTGGGAATCTGTCAGGATGGATGAATTCATTACTGAAATTACAGAAAAACCAACCAGCATCTCAGACAAATATGTTCAGCGGCTGTAGCTCTGCAGAATTGAGACCTCATAATTAGGGGAATCTACTGAGGTGGAGCCATCGCAGCTCATCAGGAACTGTCTCTGGTGGTATAGATGTCTGAAGAAAAAACAAACAGAGCATCAGTTCACTGGAACAGCAATTACTACTATCGCCAGTAGGGGAAAAGCTACCTGCTAAAAAGTCTTGCAGAAAGGTTGACCTCACCATAAAGTCCGAGGTCAGGTTCCAAAAACTATAATGTTGGGCTCAAAGTTCAGCTCTCTGTGAATACATGACATAACCATGCAACATTTGTTTATATATGCACTAAATGTAGGAACAATAAGAAAAACAATGGGAAACGCCAACCTTAAACAGAAAATATCGTGATCACACCTTAAACTTTTGATCAGCTGATGAACAGCCTATTTCTGTTCAATAGTTTTCATAAATTGCCTGCTCACAACTTTTCTGTGTCTTGTTCCCATCTATTCTTTTTACACTTCTTTTGCTTAGAACTCTCCCATTATCCAACAATGCAAAATGCAAATTCATGCAATTTTTTAACTGGTCTTAAGATTTTGATCAAGAGGGTATATACTTATTCATATTTGCAGTATGGGATTATTTTACACACAAAAGAGAGAAATACTGACCAGACCCAGCCTTTGGGTTAGGCTCAAACCTCCTGACCTGACTAATAATATCACAACACTTAAAAAAAGGACCTTTTGAGCAGAAGAGCTAGAAGCTGAAAAGCTGACTGGTTGTCCACAAGCGGTTTGTTCCCACGTCCCTGTAGCCACACAGGACTGGCTCAAGTAACTAATCTTATTACATTCTCACTTTAATCTCAATAAACACACCTAAATGAAATAACGCTGCCTTTGAAAGCTGGCTGTGGAAAAAACAAAACAGTCAAGCAGACTGCCCTGATAAGGTTATGGGACACAAAAAAGCAGGCATTTTATGTTTTTGAAAAGAAAGAGGATTATAACAGTACTCTGTTTCTACTGTATTGTTCTTATATGGCAATATCATCACAGAGGAGTGGGTACAGTGTCGACATCATCTGTAGCCACATTTCAAACACAACAGAAAGAAAGAAAAAGCACTATCGGCTAAGATAAGATACGTACAAAAATAAATTATGGCAAAAATTATTTTGCTGACTCCTGGTGAATAAAACCAGACTAACTGAAAAAAAATAATTAGAGTGCAGATAATACAGCAGAAATAGAAAATGTTTTTCTATAAAATGCTAAATCTGTCTGCTACTATTCTTCTGGTGTTCTATTACATTGTATTTGAACTTATATTGTATTGCATTTATAATATATGGTGTGTAGTAAGAATGTAATTACAAATGAAAACGTTAAACGTGTGTAAAATAACTTATTCACCCCTTCTCTCTTTTTGTCTCCACTGCTGAGATTTTCTCTTGTAGCCCTCCAGAGGGCAGTTAAATAACCAAATAAATCAATGTTAGATGCCCATTTCCGATAATAATGATGGCTTTGTAGTTTTAAATCAGTTAAAAAATATTCAGATATAAAACCTACTCAAATATTCTTTCAACTAAGTAATCATAAATATAGCGGGTGCAATAGCTTTTTTTTTCTAACTACTGATGAGAGGCTGACCAGCAGATGGCACAACAAAACCATCACATGCATCAGTACAGAAAACTGTGTAGAATGAACAGTTAATACCATAATTACAATTTGATGCGTCTATTCCCTATAAAGTCATGTTATGAATTAACTCTATTTTTTCTACTTTTAAAATATTGACAATATAACAATCTCTTCATTCCAATCATTTTCACACAAAGCCACAGAAGTCTCAGTAATTTCTCAGTGATATTTCACTCATTTATTGTTCGTCCAGTATCTGTGCAAGGAAAAGTATTACAAAAGTCTCCACACTATGGATATGATAATATCCTGTCCCAATCATACACCGTTATATTTACAGCATCCTTTAACAGTGGGGTATACTCATTTATGTTTATGTACCTATTACATGTTAAAGATATAATGATCAACCTCTTGGAGCAGACAACAAAGATCACCAACGGTCAACAGCTGTTCTGCTAAACATCCACACAACCTGCAGTGACAATGTACAATCAAGACAAGCTTGTTTCCAGATGTGTTTCTAGTACAGTTTCATCATAATGAACACACTGAACCAATAAATGCAGCACAGGTCTCTGAAGTGCGCAATTTCATAAGTCACTTCAGATGTGCAAGTGTCTTTGTTGTTTAAAGCAACAGAGCAGTTGTTTAACAGAAAAAGATGTGAATGAAATCATGATAACTTTTTTTTAGAATAGTTTTCTAACATTTTCATTTGATTCTTTTAGGTTAAAGGTAAGCACGTCTAAAGTCTTCACAATAATTGTTATTGTCCTCCATACATTTTCCAGGTTTGTCGTGCCAGCCTCTAAAATTGGGCGTTGATGTAAAGAGGAATGTAGTTGGGGAAAACGCTTCCAAAACAAATTTTCTGAACAAAATGCAATGAACACTATATTTCTAGATAATCAGAATCACAGTGGGCTTGTAACAGTCTTTCACTACAGCTGCGAAAACCACAAGGTCACAGTCGATGCTGCTGCTCTGCTGCTGGAGCAAACTATTAGCTCTTACTATCACGAAAACCTCTGAAGACTGAAGCAGAACCACAGGTTGGGGCAAAAATGCATTTGTGCTTTGAGCTGCCAGTCAACCCCAGTCAAAATGTGACTATATACGTTTCACCAACACTGGAGCATTTACCTGATATTTAAGATTTAACAATTAAATATATTTCAGACCTTTAAAACCACTATGCATTGAATGGTTGTGCAATGCTCTATATGAAATATTTATAAAACAAATGATTATGGTTTAGGGTTATATTCAATGCAAATCTAAAAAGACTTGTTCCCTTGCAGTGAGCATCTAGTGGTTGTCAGAAGAACTGCAGCTTGAGGCCATGTTGTCTGTCTGCCTCTGGTGTGACACTGTGGGACATTTCACACAGCAGAAGCTTTGTTTTTCTCTTGTTATTGTTTTTTTGTCAATAAAAGGATGCCACAGTAACACACGACTATATGGAGCACTGGCACAGACAAGAAGTCTATGCGATAAGTGGTGAAATTTTCCTGGAAGTGTACCATGAAACTAGACACACAAACAAGCTCACAGCATCTTTGTAATCTAATAACATTTCAGTGAGATGCTTAATTGTCATATTCCAGTATACAGATATATTGTCCAGTGCATCTCTTTATTCCAGCACGGCTACTCAACAAAGTAGCATTCTATAAAATATATGTATTTAACTTGCATCCTATTTCTGTGTAATTTATCAGTATGTTTTGCCTAACAAATTTGAATAATCCATCTCATTCTCTACAAGATCAGTGGTAAATATTCATCAGACAGGTCAGGTGACAATGGTTTTTGAAGTCAAGAGGAGGTGTGAGGGGATGTGACGATAAACAAAAGAGTCAGCTTCCACAGTGTTCTTCAGCTTTTTTCGACTGCTGACTGGTTGAGCTACATGTTACCTTGTTTGTCTGAGGATGTAGAGGAGGTTGATGGTGAGGGGGAGGGCGCTTTGGGAAAGACCCTTTCAGTGGGGGTGATGCCTGGGCTGCCTAGACCAGAAGAACCAGAACTGCTGGAGCGGTGTGGCCCCTGGCCCTGTCCAATTACAGGAGCTGGTCGGACAGGTCTAACGGGAGGGGGTCTTAGAGGTGCACTCGGCCTACGTGCTGCTAAGGCAGGCTTGAAAGTGGTCATAGTCTCGGAGGAGGAGCTGCTGCTGCTACGTCGCTGGGCTGCATCTGGGTCTCGGATCACCATTGTGTGCAGAGGACTGGCAGACATATCCTGGGCTCCAGCAGGGTGTTTGAGGGGCTCCAGGGTGTCAAGAACAACATCAGGGGCATGTTTGGCTACATTCTGTCTCTCCAGCTCCCGCAGCTCGTGCAGAGCTGTATTCATCGTTTTCTCTATGTCCTGACAAACATAAACAGACAGAGGAGCAATGTCAAAATTTCCTAATTTCTGAATCCGTAATTGTGATAAGCATAAGTGAGTGTAATGTTAATGAATGGCATTGTGTAATCTACAGATATGAGTGAGCACATTAAATGAAGATATAAGATGCTATATACCTAATTAAATTTCCTGCATAATCAGTTATTTTGTATAGAAAAGTAACATAACAAGTTTAAGAAGTTAAACTGCATGCTCATCAGAAAATGAGGAGAGTGCAAACACTTGCCTCTGCAAGAGCCTCGGCCTCCAGAGCTTTGTGGTCCCCCAGACTTGCATGGCGAGTGGTGCTTGGTGATGACCGTTGCGAGTGGCTGTCCACAAAGGCTTTTCTGTCGGGGTGGTTGATGCTACCGGCACTGCCAAAAGTGGTGAGACGCCGCTTTTCTGGACTGTCAGTTTGACCCCTATTGACAGCCATTTTGTGTGGGCTGCAGGGCCGAGGCATAATCCTCGGGGGATGATCAGCAAGTCTGGTGGGGCTGAGGCTTTCAGCGCCATTCCTGTGGCGCGGAACCGCGGCTCCATCTGATCGCACTCTCACCCTAAGAGAAGGAAAAAAAAAAAGATGCCAAAGATTTAATTTTATATATGTGAAAATCTACTGTCCAGGGTGTACCCTGCCTCTCGCCTGTTGACCACTGGGATAGGCTCCAGTTCCCCCCGCGACCCCATCAGGGAATAAGCGGTATTGATAATGGATGGATGGATATGTGAAAATCTTTGCTCTGGGTCAGTGCACATCTCAACTCCCAGTGTAGCACGTAGTCTCCGGTGGAGTCTCAACTGGCGCCTACCTTCCAAGTGCTGATCTAAAACGGTTCTCTGGTGTGTGTTCGCAAGGAGGCTGATGCTCATTTCTGGATGATGTTCTGTCATCGCGGGGCGCTCCAGTTCCGGTCTCACTGTCAGTCCTCTGAATGCTGTCGGAAAATGCATCATCCCTGACAACAACATAAAGCAGTGGTGACTCTTTGTGAATGACTTCAATTCAAAGGAAAACTTTGCAGTGCCTTTTCATAATTGCAAATATTGGATCTCCTGAACAGACAAGTTCCACATAATTGTGCAATGTCTACTTGATCAACACGACAGTTATTATCGGGGTGAGTGTATTTTCACAGACAAAATGAAATACTAATTACAGTGTAGTGCAGGGATGGGCAGCTCCCAGCCCCGAGGCCCACTGGACTGCAGATTTTAGGGCTTTCCCAGCTTAAACACATCTGATCCAGATCCACACAACATCAGCAGTCCTGTCAGTACTTAATCTTAATAGATCCATTTAATCCTTGTCAGGTGTGGTGATGTACGGAAACACCTAAAACCTGCTGGAGTTGCCCTTGAGGCCCAGACTTGCCCATCTCTGTTCTGGAGACTCCTTACAGAGTTGCATTAAAATCCCTACTAATCTTTACATGGCTTGATTTCAGGTAGTGGGGATGGTTATTAGGGAAGAGGCTACAGAAGAAACTAATATCTTAAACTTAAGACTGAAATAGGTGAAAATGTTTATTCTTACAGTCTTTCAGTGAATATTTAATATGGGATCATTTTCTTTTGTTTCTACAGAAACAACCAATGGAGAGAACCAAAATTGCACGTTAGAAAGGGGAGAATTTTGTTCACACTGATCTTTACATATTTATAGGTCCTGCTCGATTTGGGAAAACACAGCACTGCCTGGGAGCAGAGGAAGATTGAAAAGATGTATTTTTGGAAAGCAGGACAACCTGAATATGGTGCATAAAACAACTGTAAGTACTGGCTTCCAAACAGTCTTATATCTGATTAGACTTTTTTTGGCACTTAAGATTTACGAAATCATACTTACATGTCTTGCACTACGATGTACTGATGTGGAATCAGTCCATCCACACCATTATGCCTGCCCTCCCACCAGTCCTCAGACGCTCGGAGGTAGAGCAGCAGAGAGGCTCCCTTCTTAAAGGACAGCTCACGTGGACTTCGGCCCACGTAGTCAAATTTAGCGATTGCTTCAATCTGCTCCAGCTCTACAATAAAAGAACACAAGGGAATCCAAAAAGAAGGCTTGTTATTTTTGTCTGTCAGTTTCAAAAGCCGCAGCTGTGATCTTCACAGAGGTGTGATTGTGTTTGGTGATTCACCTTCATCACTTGTGTTTGGTCCAGTTCCATTGTCTATCTCATCCAGAGCTCCCGGCTCACTGTGGGGGCTTTCACTGGATACAGAAGAAGGAATGCAAAAAATAAGAGGGACAAGGTAACATCTCTGTCTGTTTATGAAAAATATGCTTTGATAACACCCCATAATGTTTAGCAAAAGACTACAATTTTGAATTTTTGAGCTTTTGAAGGACACAAACACTTCTGTGTATTTTTTTTTTTGCCAACATCAGACTGAAAAACAAAATCCAGTTTCTAACAAACACGGCATATTAATAAGATTTACTTCTGGATGATGGATGGGATAACAGAGGAGAGCAAAATGTATTCTCTGTTGGCACTTTGATGGGAACCTTGTGTATTATTTTAAGATGGGAGAAAACCACCTGACATGGCGCAGGCAGCTGCATCACATGCATCGTTACATAGTAAATGAAGCCTTCACTACCTCGACAACCCATGAGGACATACTGGTAACTGTATGTTACACAGAGCAAATCAGACTGCCGGCAAACGATTTAGCTGACAGTCTGTTATTCAGAGCTGATCCAAAAAGCAAATGGGACATATCTAAACTCTGAAAGAAGCTTTTTCTAAATTGTTACCATAAAGTTTTATTTTTCCCGTTTAAAAATGTCTTTTTTTTCTTAAATCCAAACCACCAGAAGAGACGCGAGTCCCACAAATTGAAATTAAATCCAAACAGTGTCTACTGTAGTGAACGTAGAGTTGAGAGCCACAGTGATTATATGCAAAGCATTCTTTTTAATTCCTGAGGTCGGTTTCAGTTTTGAGTGATGGCTGTGTAGGATGATAACACTCGAGTTATATGTATGTGAAATACATATAACTTGAAATCTGTAGCAAGACATCTCTCCTTGAACCTACCAGTACTCCTCCCCTCCAGCCATGCACTTCTCATAAACAGGTCCCTCCACCTCTCTCTGGGTTGGGAAGATGACCTCATGGTGGATTATAATTGTCTTAATGACCTCATTAACGTGTGCTTGGCAGGCCACAGGATCTTGTTCATCTGGTATGGGCATGAGTGTGGGCCCAAAGCAGATTGCAAGGTTGTATGGGTCCATCATGTTCTCGTCACTGTACTGGGAAAGACTTAGAGAAAAAAAAAAACTAAGTATTTCGATAATAATGTTGCACCTTTTAATTTTCTCTGGGATAACACTTACTGATTAAGAAAAGCAAACAGGTATCTCATGACAATTATTACAGGTCGTTGAAGAGTCACAATTATCTGCTGAAGATGGCGAGCTCTTTCACCACCAGGGTCAAGTTCTGGAGACAATAAAGTCAAAGAAAACAAAGAGCAGGTGGAAGAATTTACAATAAAGCGTAACTTATAAATATTTCAGTATATTTCTGTGGGTTTCCAGTAACGTGACTCACTGGTGGTGGATATGAGGTCGAGGAAACGCTCTTTGGGGAACAGTGGATTTTCCAGCCCACGAAAGTAGAGCTTAAGAACACCCGCCACTGAGTTGATGTCATGATCATTCTGATCATCCACCAGTGGATCCTCGCCTGCAGATGGACCATACCCCACTCATTACTCATTTAGTGTATCCACTTTTATGTGACATGGCACTGATGCAATTATTTGCATGCATTTCAAATCAAAGTACAACAGGGCAGTTATGTTTGCTAATTTATTATTACTACAGGATGCTGATCTCATGTTTTATGCATGAGGGGGCTTACATGTGCATTACTGGCATACATGTGACACAGAGGTTCTTTGTTTGCACTTTAGAATCCTGCGAGAGTAACTGTGTGCTTTTCAGGTGGACCAAATGCAATTTAAAATCAATCAAACAAAGATGGAGAGGTGACCTGGAACTAACCTCTTTCAAATGCATTCTTAATATCATTAACTTCGACCTGAGAACCTGGAACCCGAAATATTCCTTGCTGCTGAAGACCTGTGGACAGATAAACCCAAGGAGTTGAACAAGGAAAAGCTTAATAAAAATAATACGATGATGCACCAACTTAAAACACACTAGCAGCTCTCCTGTTGAATGTCTAAAAACAGTCATAATAAACAATCATAATGTTGATTTATAACTGTTTCATAGTTAGTAGCAGAGACAGAAAGAGACTTGAAGCAGATCAGCATAACCAACTGAAAAAAGAGCAACTTTTTGTCGATTTGGGATGAATAGAGTGAGTACAGGTACAAGTAGATATGAATAGTTGAGTGCTTGCAAGCAAATTTAAAAAAGGAATGTATTAATTAAAGTTACTAAAAAATTGCAAACTAGTTAGCTAAATGACATTTTTCTAAAGAAAATGACCAAAAAAAATAATTGAGTCAGTACATACCATACAAATTAATGTATCGAATGCAGCTCTCAACCACCATTGGAATGGGCTGCCCTGAATCCTACAGACAGAATTGCATCAAAATTATTGGAAGCAATAAATACAGAATAATGAAAGACAAACAGCAATGTCAGCATGATGGTATCTTAGAAGCTTGTGTGGGAAATCCCAAAAATAAATCAACTTAAACATAAATTGTTAATTACTTAAGAGCTTATGTTAAGTGTACAGAACAAACTCATGCTAATGTGTGCGCCACCATTAAGTAAGTATGTAGCAATTACTACAGCATTTTCATAACAATGAAAACATCATGGTGGCTCAGAAATGATTGCATGCCCAATACAATGTGAGGATCCCACCCTGTTATAAGACAGAGTACCTGACTCCTGGCACGGACATTCCGTCGTCCCCTGGGCAGAGAGCAGTAAGGCACGTAGACAGAGGAAGAGAGGCAACAATAACCACAACAGGTTAGTGAGAAAGACAGACCTTACAGAGACAGAGAGAAAAAAGGCAAGCCCTGACCACAGGGAATAGCCAAAGCATCAGTGCCTTGTGAGGCGTGAGATATGAGGACATGATCTGAGGGTGGACATGTTGGGAGGTAGGGTACTTCCCACGCACATGGGGGTGGGGAGCGCTGGAGGAAAAAAGCTGGCATTCACTAGCGAGAACCTGAAATAAGGGAATCTACTAATTGATTCATTAAATGGTTATTTGTGCTGTAGAAAAAATAAATAAATATAAATTATATATAATCTTATTGAAATACATAATTGATTAAATCTTTTTTTTATCATCAATCAGTTTACTGACTTGATGACAGATCATTTTGGCTCCCCTTTACTGCTGAGGTATGCCTTACTCGTATGCAGCTACTGAGCGGATATATCCTCTTTTTGACAACTTAAGCACATAAAGCCAAATAAAACTCAGTGTCTGGGAGCTGGGGGCGCACAAGAGTAAAAACTTTGGCGCAAACCTTGAAGTAGCAGTTCTGACATTAAGAATGATTAACCTCCTTGACATGTTTGAGGAGCTTTTATCATCCTGTCCTTCCTAAACTGTGAGACTGTGAAGACAAGGCGTTCAGCAAGAGGAAAGTGCATGAGTGAAGCAACGTTCAGGTAAAAGAGTGGTCACAGGCAAAAAGACCCCCCAAAGACTGCTAGCGAGACAGCTGAGCTCATGGAGAGACAAAGAGCACAGATGAGCTAATACCTGAATGAAGGTCTCCATATTGCCGTTAAACAGTTTACGGTTAAAAACGGAGCGAGGCCTATACTTCCGCATTCTCTGGGGTTTAGGGGGAAGAGTGGGGGGCCTGGGGAGATGGTGGGGGTTGTAGGGTTGGAACATGGTAAATATAAATATCATAATACAATAGGCATAACTGAACATAAAATAATACGGAGATTGTTTTCCCAAGATGGTTTCAAATGTGTGAATTTCAAATATGAAGATTCTTACACTACTAAGGAAGAATCCCTAACCCTAACCTTTTGAACAAAATGTTTCACAATCATTCTGAGTCTTAAAGTCTCACAATGATTAATCACTTCCACAATGACATCACACCGACATCTGTCTGGAACTTCAGCTTTAACCAGCTCAGTGCAGACTCAAAAATGTACTTCATAACAGTCTCATTTGTAAAAGAATCAGTCGGGGGAAAAGCCCACTATGGCTACTTGTAGCTTGCATTCCTGCCTTGTCTTTGATGTATACATAGTTGACCTAAACTGTCATGAGAAAGGTATTAACATTCCCATTCAAATATTTGTATGAATCTATATTTGCCCAAATCCCAAAAATATTCTACCAAACTTCAAGCTGTATAAAACAAGAGGACATATCCACACACACACAGACCAGACTAAAATAAATGTACTCCTGATAAAATATAAAAGAAATAAAATGTTTTTCCTATTAGTCACGAGCCTTATAGGTCAAAATTGTATCATTTGTTGGCCAGTTGAATATTTCTAAATATATTATATTTGTCCTTCTGGCATTTTTCTTCATCTACAAATATATTTTTACGGTTTAAACTTTCCTGATTTTAATCTAACCCATTTATCATAAATGAAAAATGTGGAAAAAGCCAACTCCAATTCCAATACTGTGGTTTCCTTTAATCCACATCCAAAGACACTGGAATGATTTTACACATCACAGCCTACTTTATTCACCATCTTGTCACTGAACATCTTACCTTGTTGTTCCATATTCAGCCCTCTCCCCTAGAAGCAAAAGGAAAAGGGACAGAGTTTAAATTAGAATGCTCTAGCTGAAAATCACAGAACTTGCTGCTTGAGTGCTGGCTGACTATATACGGCTGGCAGATGGAGACGGAAAGGGGTGTTATGAGAAAAGGGGCATCTATTCAACCAAGCTGAATGGGGTGAGCGGCATAGCTGAATTTGACTCACCGCCTGGCAGCGGTCATTCAGCGGTCGCCCTAGAAACGACACAAGAGCCCCAGAAGGGGACGGCCTGTCTACACACTCTCTCTGGCTCTCTGCACAAAGTGGAATATGTAACCAGGGGCAACGAGAAAGGGAGGCTGTAGAAGCAGCTTAGTACAGTAGGATGATTTCATAATATCTAAGCTACATTAGCACTCACTGTGTGGAAACAAATTAACTTACTTAGATCAGTCAATCAGAAATGTTTTTTTAGAGAAGCAGGTCATGTGTGAAGCAGAATTTTTTTTAAATCAAGCAAACAATTCTAAAACAAAAGCATGTTTTTTATAGATTCATTGTTATTACATTACTGTGATATGAGAAGAAAGCCCAGTAACCTCCAATAATAGCTCTATTATTCCCTTATTTTATTATTTTCTTTGACCTGACTCCGAAGTCGATTCATTCTCCTGGCAACCATCATAAATTTTTATCTTGAACTAACCTTCTCCTTGTTTCACACCTAACACACATTGTCTACAAATCTTATAGGAAATAGATTTTTTAAGCCAAAAGAGTATGAGAGTTATGAGAAAAGGAAGAATCACTGAATCTCACACACTGTGTATGGGATATTGCAATGATGTAAGCACTGATGATCTATTAAGGTATTTACATTAATAAGCCCTTAGCTGCCAATACTAAAATACTAAAATATTAGAGAAAAAATAAGTCCTACTCAAATCTGACTTTCAGACTGTCCGTGTATCAGACTGTTCTTGTAGATATGTTACTTTGAGAACAATCATACCCAACCACATTTTCAAATGTTGAACTGAGACACCAATGTCCCAGAGTTTCCACCTGTATATCAACCCCGCTCTTGTGGTTCTGTTTATGTACTCTCTACATTTATGAGCAGGTAAGTAGTTGTCCACATTTCCTGTCTACACACACACACAGGAAAAAATTGCTTTAATAATTCTCACCTTCACCAAGCGTCTGTTTCAGAAGGTCATGCTTAGCCTGCAGTTTGACAATTAGATTACTGCCATTCAAGTACTCCTTGTATTTCTGCAGATCAGACAAAAGCACAGATACAAGAATATTTATAGCTATACTTTTTTAAAAAATATTGCGTACAAATGTGTTGAACTGCAGTGCTTTGCACTTTCAACTATTTCAACTCACAGTGAAGTAGAAACCCTCTGTCTCTTGCTGATTGGCTCTCCTCTTTATGATGTTTGCCTTACTCATATAAGAGTCAGATGAAGCTGATTTGACAGACTCTGTGGATTGGCTGTGCTGGAAGGCCTCTGAAACATCAAAGTCTTCTACAGTCAGCATATCCTGGAGGGTCTGCATGGTGGCATCAAGGGTCTTTCTCACCTGTCACATAGAGGATTTCATCATAACTACAATCAGATTATGTTTTCCAAACATTTTTATCTACAATGTTTATGGATATGAAAACTCATCAATGTCTATTGTTTTTGTATGTTTTAATTGTTACAAACAAGCCGTGGTGTAAACAAGGTGGCAGTCTCAGATACTTCTCCAGGACCTTCGCAGAGCAGTGCGACTGACACACTGCTAACACATGACCAACTGCAGGTCTTAGCCTAATGAATTGTGACAGGAAAGATTAAGTGTAGTCCTCCCATGTTAGGCAGATAGAAAGAGAGTGTGCATTTTCATATTAATGACATGCTAACACGCCATAGTGACCTTTAAACAGGTCATTGAGTCATAATGACCTTGATGATTCCACGATGGGGTGCTGGGGACATACTTTTGAATTCCTCATTTCCTTTTTCTTTATGCCTTAGCTAACCAAAAACCTTACTTTTGATCTACTAGTGGTCAAGTAGTCACATTGTTATTTGCTTAGCCAAATATCAATATAAAGTAATGCTAGAAACTTGAAGGTTTCCTGTATTGTTTTAGTTGTTTGTAGTAAGATCCAAAGTCAGCACCTTATTACTAAGTTATGACTGTGAAAAAAACAAAGGAACAAAAAGTCTGAAAAAGGAGCAAAACTGTAATTAAATAGCACAGGTTGCTCACTGTATGCAGGACGGGTTAATGTGGTCATACTCTACCAGCTAAATATTCTGCAGGATTGCAATCTCGTGTCAGATTTGCTATAATCTCAAACAGAAAAGGGACATTTACGGCAAATTATAGCACTACTACACAGACATGGTGACAAACTAACCCTTGAACTCCTCACTTCAAATGTGATCAGTATAAAATCCAGAGAAAGAAAACAAAATGACACACTGCTCCAAAGAACAGGTATGTGTTTCTCCAGAATCAAATGTTGTTTTTATAGCCATCAGAGCTTAACTAAAGTGGCCAACTCCGGGATGTTTTGGACCACAGTTAGGTGAGGGGACATCTTTGGAAAAAAAAAAGCAGTGGTCCAGATAACGATAATCAATTACAACGTTTTACTTTCTTTTAGTGACACATGGTCGACTAAAATCCTCTCTGCCCTGCATGACTGAGTACGACTGTGCCTCTGGCAGGAGGACATAGCTTGCCTCATTAGGAATGATCTGCAGACACAGACGAGAGTTTAGATTTATGTGCAGAGAAACCTCTCACCTCTTCATTTTCTATCCTCAGTGTGGCGAGGCGAGACTGCAACTGGTGGTAACGCATCAAGAGCTCTGTCTGGACAGGCTGCTGTGCGCTCACCTGACAGACCTGGACGACAGAAAAAACAGGCTCTTTATCTAGATCGTTTCACACCGAGGACAACAATGACCATAAAATAAACCACTGCTGCATCTCTCTCTCTGAGGGCTCACCTCATCCCCCATGTGTGGCTGATAGTCAAAGCGTGCTGGAGGACAGAAGATCTGACTGTGTGTGTCCATAAACCTCAACTTGTCTCCTCTGATGTCCATAGCGTCTACTGCTCCCTCCAGTACATCCAAACCTTCATGGCGAGAGGTTTCCAGGCTATATTCAGCAGATAGGTAGGTTCTCATGGTGCGTGCTAAACTTGCATGGTACCCGAGGTCACAACACTGTGGAAACAGAAGAATGTTTGGTTATTTTAATCCTTGCAAGACAATCTGCTGAAACCAACAAAAAAAGACAAAATACTAGCTAATTTTCACTCACATCTATCAAGTCTGAGACATCATGGATGTAGTATTTGGCCACCAGGGCGTTGGTAGCTGCCAGATTGAGCAGATAGTCATTTCGGGCCTTTGTGCATTTGAGCTTGTTTTCAGAGTACTTGGCTTGTCTCTGGAGATGGAAGAGCATGAAAGGGGTTACATAAATGCAGGATATGCAATTGTTCTGTAATGTGCCCAAAGAGAACATAACTAGGTTTTATCTATTTTATCTCTCTTATAATGCGTCATTACATGCCGTCTTGTGTGCAGGACACATTGGAGAGACTGAGTTTCTGTCACATCTGATACGTATTTCTACACCCAGACAGAAGTACAATCCAAGCATTCCATTACAAATACATTTAGAGATTAGTTTCCTGTAATGTATGTCACACACTTCCTAATGTGGGCATGTCAGCCGAAACAGACCTTCTCCTTTAGTTTCTCCATCTTCTTCACTGAACTTCGTCGCTGTGGACGTTCATCATGACCGTAACGCAACAGCCCAGCACTGATATCATTAGCTTTGCCAATGTGCTTTTCCTCCTGTTTCTCTGCCTCCTTCAGTTTGCTCTCTGCGCTGATACTCTCGGTATGGTACATGTGGTACGTCTTCATTACCTGTGAGAACAGCAGGTGTGAGGGTAATACTCATAAGAGATATTCTTGATTTTTTAATATATGGTACTAACCCTAACCCCTCCCTATTTGTATCAAATCATTGTGGAGGGTGATGCTGATAACTGGAATATTGACACTTAAATCCTTTAACCATAAAGTTATGTCCTGAAGAACCATTTAAATCACTGAATAATGTGCAAATGTGTCACACTTAAATTTTTTAAAATCAAAAAGAGTGTATCAAATAAAAAGAAAAAACTAAGAACTTTCAGTGTACTATGATTTAAATATCCTTGAAGACACTGGAAAAGTTTGCAGCAGAATCTGTATGGGTGTGACCTGAAGGCCCTTCAACATTAGAAATGGTTATCATTCTGCAGTTGAAGAGGAAATAATCTCTAACCTCTGAGAGAATGCACAGCTGTATCTACGAATGCAAATTAAACACTTCTGGGCAAAAAAAAAAAAGAAGTTTATTTTCAGAATCTCCAACAGAATGAAAAAGTGTAAAACTTGGTCTTTGTTAGTTTGTTATTTGTGAATGCTAAATCAATAATGCTTAATATTAGATGTAATAGATCTGAGTTGTATTTAACATTTGGCTTTTTTGAGCAAAGGACTATAAGTCCATTGGATAGCAAATTGCAAGTATTTATGAATTTTCTGCAAATAAGTTAAATCTATGTCGATGCAACTGAATAACATATACAGAATTTACAAGGTCAAAATTTGCAGAATATGAATGCTTTTACTCTAGGACATTTTTCTTCATCTTGCACTAAAACGTTATGTAGCCTACTCATCCTGCTCATGGGAGCATCGTATTTTTTATTGACATTTCCAAAATGAGCTTGGGGTGCTATGTTGTGTGCATCCATCTGATCCGTCTCCATTCTAGTGTTGTTCAAAGGACTTCACTACATACCAGCAGGGTAAAAGTAAAAAAAAAAAAACGTAAAAAGCACAAAATTTAAGGGGCTTTACGAGAACTCCCCTTCGTCAGAATTATCACTGGAAACGTGATAAACGTAAAAATATTTAACCATTAACTCCTAAATCAACAGTACAATTACACAACACGTGCTACTCCATCACAGGTTCTCAAGTTCCCGTTTCCTAGCAACCCTGACTGAAATGGATGGCAAAGGACGTTGAGATCGATCAGCAGGGGGGAAGGAGGCAACAAAGTGACAGTGAGCAAACGTCTCTGCTGTGTATGAAATAACAAACAAGTTGTTTTGTACAGAAGTCCACAGGGATCAATACACAAAGGCAACAAAAAATAAAGGAATTAATTACTTTTAAAAAAAAACTAGAATTAGCGCATTACTAATGGAATAGCTAAGTTAAGTATATATAATCAGTTGCTGAACTTTCTTTTTCCTACAGTTTTAAGAAAAACTGCTTCTTAATTCTGTGTGTGGGAGCTGCAGTCAGGTATTTAATAATGCATGAAACAGAGAGATGAAAAATCAATATCAGTATAGCACTGGTATTAGTTGCGCTGTGTAGTGTTACATATGAGAGTATTTGTCACGTTTTTTTATATAGTTTTTATCGGGCCGATCAGTTCAATTCTATCTGCGATTTGTAGCACATTCATACATTTCCAACAACATTAAACAAGGAATACTGGGAGAACGATTTAGTTCAAGTGAAAAGCATATGTCGTCTATTGTACTTTCTAAAATATATGATATGTAAATTCAGTTTTGGCAAATAAAGATGTGTTTGATTTATTTGTTGGAATATCTTTTATTCTCTCCTCGGCCTTTACCAAGTATACAAGGACCCAGTCCTTTACTCAAAAAGCTTGAGAATAAATGTCAAACTTTGCTGCTTTTGAACCCAATGGCCATGTCTAATGAGCCAGTACGATTTATTTCAGCTGTATTTGATCAATCACTTTTAATTATTTACTTTCATTTTAAATTTTAGTTTTAAATTCAGCAAAACAAACAATAAAGAAAAAATGTTGCAAAGAAGGGGGTAAAAGTTCATCCAGTCTGTTTTTAAATGAGTCCCTTTTACAAACTGTTACTGTAGTCTGACATTTAGGAGAGTTCTAATAAACTGTTGTAACAGCCATTTAAAACATGAATTTTTGATATGATGCAGTAAATTTAGTTAGCAGTCTGCGCTTTCCCGAGTTGCCTTAAGACACCCACACTGTTGGCACTGTTAACCCTGATCTATTCAGCTATAAGCAGCTTTTAAATGGATTAAAATAGCATGTTTACTGCCTGCTGGATCATGACACAGCTAAAAAGATTAGAAACATAAAAGGCACTGTGGCATTTTTTTGGTCTAATCAAGCGAAGATGAGGAAAGGTTGAATTCTATCTACACCGCTAAATGGACTTTTATGTGTGTTCTTTATCGAAGGATGAGGTACAACAATCCTCAAAGTGTGACAACTGAGACCACAGAGGTTTTAGCTGAAAATGTAACAGCAGCTTATGTTTCCTGTGAGCACTTCTGCAGCAGACTGCTGAGCCTTCAGGACCTCAGCAGAACAAAGAAATGGCGTGTCAAAAGATGCTCTGTAGATAGTGCATATCTGCAGTGTGAACTATCAGGGCGGCTATTTCAGAGGTTGCACATTGTGGGCGTTGAAAAGGCTGCCTTTATGATCGATGCACCGCATGCATGCTCCACAGGCCGAAGAAGAAGCATATCCCTGACATGAATGTTAAATGAAGTCGATATCGTGCAACTCACTGCGTAGAGTTCATTAGTGACTTTCACCAATTCTTCATGCATCTGAACCCCAATGTCTTTACTCTGTAAAATAAAATAAAGAAAAGCAGATAAAAACAACACCAATTTTAACAAACACAGACATTCAAACACCTCAGATGAAACTGGATTTTTTTTTAGACAGCACATATCTTTTTCCCGCAGTAGAAAAACTTTGAAAGCTGCATGTCACTTTTAGTTTTTTTTGTGACGGATGTCAGCTGATGTTGAAATTCTGTCATTATTCTGTGGCTGAGGAGATCTAATACAAAACCCAGAGAGAGGAGACAAAAATAGAACAGTGCAGTCACTGCAGAACCTTTCCCATGGCATAGAGTCACTGCTTCAGCCCAGTTACAGAGAATAAGAGCCTGTGATGAATTGGACTTGTCCAACAATAGGGCTTTCAGCCCGAGAGGTAGAATGGTGCCAGTGCCAGTGGAGGGTGACTGTGTTGAGTGGATGTAAAGAGACACTTCACCCAATCTATCCCGGTGTTTTGTCACCTCTCAGGGGCCATAGTGGCATTGTATCTCCAAATGTGACAAGAATAAAAGTTCTGCACGTTCAGTATATTTAATGTTTGTCTTAACAAGTGCCAGAAGTGATTCATTCCCCTCCCCACATGTGTGCTTCATTAACATCAAGACTGCACTGCAGCTGAACCAGTATGCTACAGCTGAACGGGATTATTGTTCTGGAAAGCTCTTATAAGTTGAACAAAAAGAAGATTTTAAGGGATATCTCTCCCCCCTTCTTTAGCTATCCACAAGTGACTCCATTTTATTTAAGGTTCTCTGGACAGAGACCGTAAAAGGGAGAAACGATAGTGTACTGCTTGTCTTGTAACAGACAGAATGGTCAAGTCATTTCACCCAAAACAATGGAGACATGAGGGAAGTAAACTGCTGCTGTCAACTGATCCTAATCTTAAATGCCCAAAGCTACGAGGTGTGCACGGCATTTAGAATGGCACAAGAAATGACAGAATCTGGGACATACAGTAAGACAGAAAATTAAGATGCTAACCATGCTGTAACAAACAAGAAGACACATGTTAAATATCCACACAGGTCAACACCTCCCAATTTGTCTCCAGACAAGAAGCAAGAGTAAAACTCCTGATGTCACCAGCCAAAACATGCAATTCAAATCAACCTTAATGTCACAGCTAGCATTACTGTCGTCATCAATGTATCCTGTTACTGCTGACGTGGCTCAGAGTTCCCAACGAGGCACACTGAGTTGACTTGAGCAGATAGATGTATGACCGTGTGTGTGTGAGTAACACTTGTCTATTCAATTCTGATTCTGACCTTTTTGAAAAGTCTGATGACATCCTCGCCCACATGTGCCAGACGGACAATGACATTGTTGTTGTAGATGTCACTGAGAGTGGCATGGTCTCTGCTTTCTCTTCGGGTCTGGTCCAAGACCAAATACCAGCAGTTCACAGTCGAGACGAGATTTTGGTCTTTTCTGAAAATGGCGAGGAAGAGGCTTGTCAGCAAGTAAATATGGGAAATCGTCACTTCAGTGATCGTTACAACTCTTTCTGTTATATGTTAAAAGCAGCAGAAACCATACATGTACCAAATTTCCCATCAATAATGATCAAAGAACTTGGTTTCTGAGCTTAGGAAGGTATAACATCTCAATCACTTAAATATGTGGCAGAATGAACTCTCCTTCCTGGATGCTGCTCCCATTATTTTATTTGGTACAAGCTGCAAAATTTTACATATTACAAATCAAGAGGTCAGTGCATATGTGGTGAGGAATCAGCAAAACAAGGGGCAGCTCTACATACACACTCACTACATGAGATACACACATGAAAGGCAGCATGCTGGCTGCCTCCTTGTTAAAGGGACCATGTGAGTTCAATTATTCCCACACCAGAGAGTTTGTGTTTTTCTTGTAGCCCTCTATTTTGGCTGACATTTTTCTTTTTTTTCTGACCTCTAACAAATGCAACTGCTTTGAAAAATTAGCACTGAGCATTGTACTTGTCTTGCAGAAAACTTAATAATATAAAAACTTTTACTATTTGGAATGATTCAAACCAAATCTCAAATTAATTTCTGCTACAATGATTTGTCATAGGAGATAAGTTAAGATAAAAAATGTTAACACTTTGCATACCTTTGTTGATTAGGAAGAGGAAGTTCACCAGACATTTCTGATTGGCATCTGGGCTGATTTGCATACCCAGAAGCTCGTTTGTAGAGCTCAGGTGCAGCCAATTATCACTGTCCAACTAATAACTAAGTATCATCATTTGTAACATGGACTAATCTGGATGAGATCAGATATGGCATGTAATAAAATATCTGCTGGAACAGTGCAGTTACCCTTTTTTCTGAGAATACATTCAATACCAATCAGCATGATAATTAGCAGGCAGGGAGTGGCTGGCAGCAACAACAGACCATAGTGATCCCAGTATTAGCTGCTGGCTGGCACAGTGCATACACAAAATGGTTGCAGTAAAACTGCATTAAGTGGCTGTAGGTTTTAACACCTCCAACAGGTACATAAATTGACCCAAGAATGTCTCAATCTTAAAGACAGCTTTACAAAAAAAAATGAAGTACTCTGAGTTTTTTGAAGAGGCCATCACTTACACATCGTATATTGTCAGTGTCTATGTTTGAGTTTCTCAGGAACTTTTTAAATACTTTTGCTAAGTAAATCTAATATTTGAAATTGAGGGACATTTCCAAGAGCCAAAATCCAGTCAAGTATTACGATGTTGTTTAAGTTAGATGGGATGTCCCATCTATGGATGAAACTACAAGCATGTTTATGTCCTCTGGAAGTGGCTAATCTGTAGTAATATGACCTTTCTGAACATTCTCCTGGATCAATTTTTGTGTGTACAATTACGTGCAATAAATTATTCAAAATCATAGATTTCCTCTCTGTTGGTCGACTTCATGAGACATTGATCCACTATTAAGCTTCCAGTGAAACATAAACATGAAGTCTTTTTTTCAGTCTGATCTCAGTTTTGAATATCACACGGAAAGAAGAGTCTTTACCTGTTCTCTGTGAAAGGCCTCAAAACGCATCATGATCCTTTTATTTGATAAGAATAAATAATAAATATTCTTTCACCGTCAAAAAATCCACTCAAGCCATCAAAAGAAGAACAACACCTGAAGTTACCAACAGATACACAAACATCATCTATAAATTCATGTTAAATATGATGGAAATGCCTGATGTTGTCAATCACCTAGTTTCAAGTTCAAATGTCAAAGTTTATTGTCATATGCACAATAGAACGTTCCATGTATAATTAAATCTTACTTTTCAAAATATGAAAATTGAATTGCAGTTAAATTCTATTTACGGTACAAGTAAAAATCAGAAAGAAAAAAGATAATGTAACTGGAATCAAGAGCATAGAGAGTATATAGTATACTGACACTACACAAGAGAGGACCACACAGTATCATAGATGAGATTAGTCTCTCCAGAGTTTTCTGCAAGTATTAATTCAGCTTCTAGCAAACAGTTATAATGATGATCATTCAATGTGACAGAGGAATCTGGGACAGCTGCAAGTAGGAAGAAGTAATCCTGGGCAAGTTTTTGATAAATACTCCATTTATCAAAGTCCCAGTGATGGGAGTTCTAAGACATGATAATGATTCATGACCAATTGGCCGAAGAGACTGCACGATTGATGGGGAGAGTTTCCCTGAATAAATAAGCTTGTTACTGTGAACAGACTGAGCCAGGTCACATGAATGGCTGCATAATTCCACCCCGTAAGAATAAGTTACACTGCCTGTGCTAAAAAAACAAAAACAAAAAAATATTCAAACTCTCGCTTTGGATCAGTGGTTACTCCCTTAAGGGTCCCCTATCAAAATCTGGGAGCTTGATGGTCCCTACAGTAACTTAGCTTTTGAAATCTGCTGGAAAGGATCTGCTGGAGCCATTTTCCTCATTTGGGGTCATATTTTTTAATATTCCTCCTTCATCCCTTGGTATTTTTCCAGCTAATGTCTTGTTGCTGCCACTTGGCATAGCTACAGCTACAGGGACTGATTTATTCTGCAGTTTGTCGACTATAACAGTGTCCAATTGTTTATCTATCATCTGCTTATCAGCACATAATTCGGATATTCGCCTCCACGTTTGTAGATATCTCTGACTTGTTCGCTCCTAACCATTTTGCAGCACATATGTCCCTGTAAACTACTGCCACCACATTATTCATCCATTCCATGGAGTACCTCCCAGCATCTTACACCTTGCTACTGTGTGTTGGACTGCCTCTAAGGCCTCTTCACACAGCGTGCGGCTGGGGTCCTGTCTGCTGGGGTAGAGCCCAGACTCTCTTGTTCAGGGCTTGCTATTCGGTGCCCGTATTAGTGCCTCTATTGTCTTTCTGACCAGCCTTTTTTAGCCACTGAAAGGACTTCTTTGCAAAAGTCACATCTTCATCTACTGGTGTCAAATGTCACGCTGAGCCTTATCTTTCCATGATGGCTCCTTCTCACTCAAAGTTTTATCAGTGGGGGCCATCTTCTTGAGGACATTTGCTCTTTCATACTGGACAGTGTCTCTGACACTCATTAGGCATGTCTCTGGTTGTTCAGCTCCTTCAGTCACAGTCACTCACACCCTCTTTGATGTAGCTGGACCATATTTATCTTGGATTGAAGTTTTATTGACATCCTGATGTCCTTGCTTTATGTTATCAATATGTATGTATGTATGTATGTATGTATGTATGTATGTATGTATGTAT